ATCTACTCCTGAAATCATTGTTGCACCATATGCTAACTTAGATGTATATTAAAAATATAAAAAAATAAAATTTTAAAGTAAAAAAATAAAAAATATAATTGACAAGAGGAAAAACAAAAAACTAATTTATCATTAAATCATATTCTAAATAAAAGTCAAAATTCTCTGATGAGATAAAATAATATAAATAAAATAATTAAAAAGAATACAACACAATTATATGCTGCTTTCAAGAGGCAAACATGAAATGCATATAGTAGAGTAGGTTGAAAGTAAAAGATTAGGAAAAGGTATTCCTTGTAAGAACTAACAAAAAGAAGAAGAAATATTATAGCTTTATAGTCATAAGTCAAAGTAAATAGACATTTACACTTGACATTTATGTTCTGTGCACTTTCTGATATGTTACGTTTCGATAAAATGCATGCAAAGGGAAGAAAAACAACTCTCTTCGAACCAAACAAGCAAATATGACACCAAATATAAGAGAGCAATCTCTCTAACAAAGAAACAGTCTTCAAAAAGAAATATGTTTTTAGTGACTGCACATCACTCACCTGCACATCACTCACTGTAATTCTTTTTTTTTTCAATTTGTGTGTAACTGCATGAGCTACTTCATATGTAATGACTATTGTTCATCTGCCTTTGAGCAATCAGGCTCTCTGTACCGCCCAAGGTGAGCGTGTTGGGTTGATAGACAAATGATACGATTGATGGGGCGAATCATGTGTTCCTATTCCCGAAAGTACTTTGCTGAAAGCAGAGCTTCCTATTTGATTAGAGACATTTATTTTGGTTGAATTGATTTTTTTCTTACACTTTTTCTATTTCGGCATGCTTTTTGTCAGCGTGTTGAATTCAGTCAATGGATTTAGTGTTTCTTTTCACTGGCTGACAGCAGCCACTATGTGACTGTTTTATTAATGCCCAATGATTGTTTCATTGAAACTTCCATTTGGTGTGACCTAGACATTAATATGCAGAGTGAAAGTTCAGTACACTTGCCAAATCTGTTTCAGCTATGCACACACTTCTTGTTGATATTCTCTTAATGTATGGTTACTTTTGGTTTTATATATATGTATGTGTGTGTGTGTGTACGTGTGTGTGTACATATATGTATGTGTGTATATTTATGTGCATATGTGTGTGTATGTATGTGTGTATGTACACACACACACACACATATATATATCCTTTTCTATAATTTCATAGAGTTGGAATCGTACAGTATGCAGCTTTTCAAGTTCTTTTTCATGGCTTGATAAAATCGCTCATTTCTTGTTAGTGCTGAATAATATTCCATCCTACGATGTGTTTCTAAAAGAGATGGTGTGGTAAGGTACATGATAATTGAAACTAAACAATCTGAGCATTATGTGAATGAATCAGAACACTTCTCAGCTTAGGGATGTTTCCGTGTCGATGGTGTGATGTTGTACAACCATACAGCAGTAAGAGATATCCGTCCGTCACACGGGATGACCACGGGTTCCGGATTTAGCACTCATCGTCCTGCACCTAGAGTAGGACTTCTGCTCCAGACACTAAGGGCGGTTCGTCACCCTAAGTCAGTTTTTAAAATGAAAGATACAAAATTCGATCACAGAAGAATAATTACTGTACAACGGCTGTAATATTGAAGCTGAAGTATAAATACACATTACAAGTGGCTATGGATTCTTTGAAGCAAGGTCTTACGGTGTATATACCTGTACTCGTTTGTTTAAGCAGCAAGACCTTCAAAGCAAAAGTAGAGATATTTGGCGATTCAAATAACGGTTTCAACATTTCTGTCCTGTCCAGACTCACTGGCTCCAGTGTTCCTGACCTGATTGTGAGCATGAGCAACCAGATGTGGCTGCACCTGCAGTCTGATGACAGCATCGCCTCGCCTGGATTTAAAGCTGTTTACCAAGGTATGGCCGCGACGCGCTTGCCGACCCCTGAAACTAGCATGCGTGCAGTGGCCAAGGACCATTCTCAGTGAGTTAGACATAAGTAAATTTGGAATGTCACAATAATGTTTAAAAATAGGGACTAATTACTTGCAACTTCCTTAATTAGAACCCTACTTATAGGTCTTTTTGCAAAGAACTTTTAACTTGTGGAAAGCCTAGCTTGCCATGACGTGTGCCATCATTAGGTCAAAATAAAGAGCAACACTAAGTACGAAACACAAGCTATGAAACATTTTTATGCTTGTGGATATTGGCATTTTATCTCTTTGAGAGGGAGATGTTATGGTTATGACTAAGGGAAATATTTTGAACAGAGTATGCCTTGGAGTTGCGTTAATTTAATTAAGCTTCATTACATAGACACTCATACAAAAATGTGTGTGTGTTGTTGTTTATTTTTCATGGAGAACAGAAATCTACATGAACTTGGAGGAAAATACTACTCTGAGTTCAGGTGTAGGAGAAAAATAAATGTTGTCCGGGATTTGTGAGTTATAATTACTCTGGAGATGCTGGCTTCACCTCTGAATTCACATGCAGGTGCCGTTGTCTCAGCGAGTGGTTTTCCATCATGCACTATGGCTCTGTGTTCTCATAAACCAAGGCATCGTGTTTAGTCTGGTGCATCTTTAAAAATATCCCCACTGTATTGCTCTACCTTCATTGTTTCATGTGGGAGGATTTCGTAGGAAAGAGATATCTTTTAACCTTAACATACAGATTGGTATTTAAAACAACTATTGTGCAAAATTTTATAATGGAAACAGAAGTAGAAAGAACAGTATAAAAAACCTGAGATGATCTCTATTTGTAAACTTTTATAAACCTCCCAGATATTTTGCTCTTGACTTAAGGATTGGTTTGAGATGTAGCTGCCTGGTTGTCAGCCTCCGCCCGGTCCTCCCTCTGCTCAAGTATCCTTAAATATCATTTGGGAAATGAGTGACATTCCTACTGTGCTCCCAGACACTAGACCCATCCACAAGTCTTTATTCAATAATTACTTCTTTAAAAAGTAGACTTCTGTCTTGGTTCCAAGAGAGAAAAGAAGAATTCTTTCCCACTCTCCCCCCCCCCCAAACAACTAGATCAACCAGCTTGCCTCTCATTTGGGGTCTTCTGAGATTTAGTTCCCATAACCCCACCTGTACATGTCTGTTCGGGAGCAGAATGGGCGGCAGTCAAAGGCATCTCTTCAGTGCCTCAGAGCACACCACAATGCTTTGGCTGATCCCTCCTACGTTCCGGAGATGGCAAAGAATGGAGTGTGCACTAAGGGAGAGAGAGAATCATTGTTCAGAGTACAAAGAAGAAAATTGATCTTCATACTATCCAGACCTCAGGGCACCTAAAATAGCTATAGATAGGCACATCTGTTTTACCTGGCAATACACACACACACACACCATTTTCCTTTCATGACACACTTTGGTGTTCTCTAGATCAACAATCAAATAGTTTGACTCAAGAAAGAAACATGAAAGAGGCTTGGGAGCATGTTAAATTCTTCATTTCGGATTATACAAATGATGGGTGCAAATCCTCTGTCTTCAATGTAGATCTTGTATGTGTTTGACAAAGAGAAAGAAATTGTTCTCTTGTGCTAAGAGATTAAATATGTGTCCCCAGATACAATAAAATTATCTCATATTAAAAAGTTTTATAAATTAATTTATAAAACTACTTAATTATGAAACTTTAAAAGATATATTTAAGTTGTCACTTGCATACACTGCCATACATTCAGTGAGCCACAAACTGATTTGAAGTTACTTTTAACAAGATTGAGAACCTGTTACTGTCTTGAATGTAAGTCAAGAGAAGTCTTCTCAAGGTCAACCTTATACTGTATGCACATGCCTGTGAACAGATAGTCGCTTTATCAAAATAACCAGGAAATTACATTTTAAACCCAATCAGGGGTGCCTGGGTGGCTCAGTTGGGTAAGTGTCTGACTTCAGGTCATGATCTCACAGTTCATGAGTTCGAGCCCTGCATCGGGCTCTGTGCTGACGGCTCAGAGCCTGGATCCTGCTTTGGATTCTGTGTCTCCCTCTCTCTCTGTCCCTCCCCTACTTGCACTCTGTCTCTATCTCAAAAATAAATAAATAAAAATAAATAAAATACACCCAATCATATATTTTTATTAATACAAAAAAAAACAATTATTACAAAGAAACTATTTAAACTATAATCTAAGAAAATATACTGTAGCCATTTAGAATAAAGCATAAATCTGTGTTTTACCTATTTCCATTTTCAAAGTTTAAATACTTTCCGTAAGTTTCAAAATTTTAGGGAACTAAGAAATGATACAAAGTACTGTAATACAGTAAAAATGGTGGCAATTTTATTTGGATTATTTTACTCGAGGGGAGCTGTTAAAAAGAAAGAATTAATTTGTAAATTACTGTCAGAAAAACTTTTGAAGTCGGCCTTGGCAAAAAAAAAAAAATATATATATATGTATTATGTATATATGTGTATGTATATGTGTATATATGTGTATATATGTATATGTGTGTGTGTGTGTGTGTGTGTATGTCACTACTTATTTTTTCAAAGCCCAGCTCACTCTAAGTGGTTAACGGATGAAGTAGTGATCTGTGCCCATCATTTTCCTTGAACTGTTTTACTACTCAGAAAGTTGTAGGAAACTGATAATAGGGCAGGTGATCCCTGACTACAGACACACTTGTGAACTCTGTGTAGACAGGACACGATCGATTGTCGCCCAGTGGGTATAGATGACTTTAGGGTCTCTTATAAAACTCATGTCAGCATTGCTAATTGTCTGTGTCTGTTCTTTGAGTTCTCTTGTGAAATGGTTCTTCAAATGTCTTAGTGGTTCCTTCGTCAGTTGCTGAGTTTATTAAAATCTTTAACATGATATGTACATGCATGTACTGATGAAAACTAGACAAATCAATCTGCAGAGATGGGATTTTATTGTCTTCACTTTTACTCTGGGGATTTGAGCAAAGAGATAGAATGCCGTGTCTTCTAATTGTGCGCCGTAGAGAATTCAGGAACTGACAAAGTGTACTGAGAAGTTATTGCATAGCAAGACCACTGAGACAGGTCATTAAAAAGCGTCTTACAACCCAAGACCATAAGCAGGGTGACAGTGATGGTGTCCTGAGCTCAAGTGAACATATCATTGCATGGCTGCACCCTCCTTGTGAGCGGAAGTAGTCGCGGCACTGAAGACTTCCGGGGTGAGGCGGGCCCAGCACCAGCATCCTTACTTACCTGTAAACTGTGCAAGATTCCTCCTTGGTGGAAACATCGGATGGGATGGGGAACTGATGGCTTTTCTTAATAAGAAATTCTGTTGCACACCCCACACAAAGGTTAGGACTAGAATGCACAGATAATTGCTGAATCCTTCCTGACATTTGGATATTTCGACTTGACCTTTAATTGAACTTCTACATGACTGTACAGTTATTCAAGATAGCACAGTAGAGGTGTAATCCTTTCCACATGACCTATACTCGCTACTTCCTTTGGTGAAATCTAAGAGCCTCAGTGAAATAGCAAACACTTCCCAACAGGGAAAATTGCAGGAATTAACTCCAGCAGTAGTAAGACACACATCCTAAGGTTTCTAGTGTGAAGCCGAGAGGGACTGGCATCCTTGCTAAACTGTGGATCCTTGACTATTAAGAAATGAAAGTATTCTCGATTAAAATATAAATATTCTTCCACGTGTCGTATTTCAGTTTGAATGACCGCACAGCATTAATTCTAACTGCATTTAGCTGTAATCAGTACTCTGTTTACAATCCCAATAGTCTATTAATCACTATACCCTGAGATGTTATGGAAACGTGGACGGCCATCAACCCTTGAAAGATCTCCAGTTCAAGGCCACATGTTATCTTTTGACCAAATAACGTTCCAAAGTCAGAAGGATAATGAAAACAAATAACTAATACAAGATTTGAGGATTTAAACATTCTAGAGAATGTTCTACATCAAAAGAAGATATTCACATTCTAGAAGTTGGTATTTCCAGAGTGCTATATTAAAATAACAATTAATGATAAAAACCGTGTGTAAAGGTGATTGTCAAAAATATAAATAATTGCATTATTTTCTTTAAACTAATAGATATTTGTGAATTGCATTGTCAGAAAAAATTCATAGAGCTGATAATCACATATGACTTAACTTTCTGGGTGTTGATATGCGTGGTCTTAGCTAACATAGTGAGGTGTTTGAGAATACAGGATGTGAAGCCAGACTACCCTGGGTATATGCTCTCCCATCTGCTAGCTTTATAACTTAGGCCAGGTTATTTAAAGGGTGTCAGCTTCCTCATGTAGAAAAAAGGGAGAGCATAGTAATGACATTTCCTTCATAAGTCTCGTTGTAGAACTCACGACTTAAAACATGGAAATCCCATAGCACATAGAATGAGAAATGCTAGCCATTATTTTCATACACATTTTTCTTGTTAATTCTGAGATTTTTCTATAAGTAAGGCTTTTCATTATATAAATAAATATTAGAGCTCATGATAAAATATGTAAGGATAGTGAATGTCCTTTCTCTTCACCTTCTGACTTGGCCAGGAAACTTCCTTAAAGGCAGTGGCTCTCAGCTTTTCCTTATGTATCCTTCCAGAATTTTCAATGCACATAACACCATGTCTGAAATCTTGGCTTGTCTCTTCATCTACAAACCCCAGAGGAACCTTGATGTGCAAGAAATGCCACATTCTCTTATTTTAAAATCAACTTGAATTTCTTCAGAGACAACATCCTAACAGCATGCTATGATTGGAGGGGCCCCACATTACCTGCTACCTGCCCGTCACCCCCCTCGCACCAAGAGGTTAAGAATTCCCCAGGTGTTCTAGGGGATACGAAAGGTTTGGGGTCCTCAGATCTTGCA